TTTAAGTGATGTTCTCAGGTTCGAATTTCAATGACATTTTAATTGTGTATATACAATTTCTCTTCCTTCTTATTTAGATTATCGTTTGTACTCAAAAGATGCAATGCGTAACAAGATGTTTAGAAGTCCTTTATTTCTTTAATATATACTTGGAGAATTGTATTATATATCTTCTCTTCTAGCTGCGGTTAGGGTTAAAAAAAAAAGAATCTAAATTCTGCAATTTGAACGGGCGTGATATGTCCGATCAAAAAAAAAAAGAACGGGTGTGATATGATGATGAGAGGCTACACCACGTGTAGGGGTAAGTGGTAGTCATGCATTGACTCTCTCTCTAATGCCAGCAGGCACTGCATCTTTTTCTCTGAAAATCTCTCTCTGAAATTTTTTGGGGTTTGTTGATGTCAGTTTGAATGGATTTACTTGGCCTTTTCTTATAATGGTACTCTCTTTCAGTCTCTCTCTCTCTCTCTCTCTCTCTCTCTCTCTCTCTCTCACTGTGGGGAGCAGTGGTTTGAATAAGTAGATTCAGATTTGAAACTTTAATCTTTGAAGATTTTATATGGTGCAAAATCAATCCTTAACCTCAAAAAGGTTGAAATTTTTAAGACAATAATAAATAGAGAAATAAAAAAAGCATATGCTGCATATACACATATGTGGTGAAAGCAGGTAGCTCATCTTTACTTCCCATATTTTGACCCAAAAAAATCTTTACTTCCCATATTTCTTCTCACCCTTTTAGATGCAAAAGCCATTAAGCCAACCCCTCTACTGCACCCACAAAACCACATACACATCAAGTCAACATCAAGACCCCTTAACAGAGATGTTTAAGAGACATAGATCCTTTTTAAGGTATACTCATTAATGACCCTTTTGCCTAAATTAGCAATCTTATAGAGATTTGACTGGTTTGAACACCACAGCAACCTCCATCAAATCAAGCTCTCCATAAAAGACCTATTAGACCCTTTTTTTCCCTCCTGTTCTTTAAAGACTCTCTCTCTCTCTCTCTCTCTCTCTCTGTATATAATATTGTATGTGCTTTAGTATTCTTTAGGGGGTGATGCTGCATGCATTTTAGTGATGGCTGATCAAGGAGGTAATGGTACTAGTAGTGTTATTATGAGGGATTATAGGAAAGGGAACTGGACAGTGGGGGAGACAATGATTCTGATTGAGGCAAAGAAGATGGACGATGAGAGAAGAATGAAGAGAAGCGGGGATGCTGCAGGTAGTGAAACAAGATCAAGCAAACCAGCTGAGCTCAGATGGAAATGGGTAGAAGACTACTGTTGGAAGAAAGGGTGTTTGAGAAGCCAAAACCAGTGCAATGACAAATGGGACAATCTCATGAGGGATTACAAGAAGGTGAGGGAATATGAGAGGAGGGAAGGGAAGGAAGAAGCAGCATCTTATTGGAAGCTTGAGAAGAGTGAGAGGAAAGATAGGAACTTACCTACCAACATGGTGCCTCAGATATATGAGGCTTTGGTTGATGTGGTGGAGAAGAGAGAAGCGGGCCATCATCAGATCAGAGTGGTAGGTGGAGCTTCTGTTTCTGGTTCCAATGTTCCCAATCCCACCATTGGATATGTTGTGGAGAGGCCTATTATAAGCACTAGTGTTCATCAGGCTTCACTGCCTCCTCCAGTTTTGCAACATCACATCTCAGTTCCACCAATTGCAGCATTGCCTCTTCTACCCCCAGCTCCATTGGCAGTTCAACCACCACCTACTCTTCCATACTCACAACCTATGCCCACAGTAGGTACTCTCTCTCTCTCTCTCTCTCTCTCTCTCTCTCTCTCTCTCTCTAATTTGGTAGGTGTGAATTATGTGTATCTTTGAAGCCAATTTGCCCACTGATACATTTTTTTTAAATAAAAATTATTCTTCCAATCAAAAGATAATGGAATGTGATGCACCAAATGACAAGTGCACTAGCTAGCACATTAATAATCTTTTCCATCATATTGATTATCCCATGGAGAATTAAAAAAAGTTGATTGGTACTAGTAATTATTGTGTGCATGGTAATAATTAATGGTCTGATAAATTAGTATATATTGATTGGTTGATTTGGTGCCACATATTTACCTTTTGGAGACGTGTGAAAGCTCAGATTCTGAGACAAGCCATGAACATTCAGACTCACCAGCCAAAAGGAGGAGAAGGGCAAGTGGAGGTGGAGGAGGAGGTGGAGATCAAGGAACCAGTGGAACTGTGAGTGCAAGCACCTCAAGTGAAGTGGGCACTGCCATCTCCAGAGGTGCTTCCATGATTGCAGAAGCACTTCAGGGTTGTGAGGAGAGAGAAGAGAGAAGGCACAGAGATCTTTTGAGTTTGCATGAGAGAAGGCTACAGATTGAGGAAACTAAAACTGAGATCAACAGGCAAGGCATTAATGGTCTCATCGATGCCATAAACAAGCTAGCAGATTCTATCCATTCCTTGGCTTCCAACAAGAACCAATCACCTCCAAAGTAATCTCATCATCATCCTTATCATCATCTTAATTAATAGTACAAATAATTTCCATTTATTTATAAGATAAGATAGAGAGAAATATGGCATTTCATTGATCCCATTTGGTTGGTTGTAAATAATTTATAAACCCCATTAATTTGTTCTATTTTCCTTCTGATCATTAGAGAATCCCACATTTAAATTGTGTAATTTAGTTCAAGTTATTGGATTCACTTGCTAATATTTCTAATTATATGTTGGGTTATATATATATATATATATATATATATTTTTAATTAATATGTTAATTAAGAAGCAAATTAGTTTGATATCACCATGGACTTTCCAATAAAATCTGCAAACCATGGTGTTTACAATATCGTCATCAAAGTAAAGTAGTTGGATATATATAATCTTCATCTCCAGCTGCACATCATGCCACATATCTTTGGTACATTTCAATTTCCTTCCACGCAGTAAAAGTAGCTTGTCATATCATTATCTTTGATCCCCTATAGTCATTCAAAAGTTTCTCTCAGTCTTGCATAGAAGAGAAATTGGATCCCATGCACAGTCTCATTATATGAAAATCAACTTAATAGAGATTAAGCACAATATGGTATTTCTATATATCATAATTGGATAGTGTATTTCACGCAGTGTAAAATCAAGTGGGGATTGAGCTGAGTTCTTCATGTATCATTTATGAGGCACAGATGAGAGAGAGAGAGAGAGAGAGAGAGAGAGAGAGAGAGAGAGAGAGGAGAAGCAGTACTGCAAAAACACAGAGACAAGTGCTTCCCAAAAGACTGGTCAAAGGGCGACCAGTCAATGATCTCTCTGAGGGGAGAGAGAGATAGAGAGGGGATGCCTTTGGACTTAGCTGGACAATGACCAAAATGCCATCTTTTGTTGGTATTATTGGTTTCTTTGTATTCTTTCTCTTCTCTTTGTTGCTCCTCCTGTTAGGGTGTGAGTGAGTGAGTGAGTGAGTGAGTGAGAAGAAGAAAGGCTGTTGCAAAAACAAAAGTAGGTATCTGTGCGTGACTGTGAGAGGAGAGAGGGTCATTATTGGCTAATTTGGTAGCCTCGCTATGTGCTTCTGACAAAAGTTCAACTTTTTCCCTTGGAGGGCATCACAGGGAGCCTCGATATATAATCGCTTTTTTCAGCCTTTTTACCCTTTTCATATAAAAACAACACACACATTATATTAACCCCCTTTCTTTTTCTTTTTCTTTTTCTTTTTATTTTATTTTATTTTCCTTGTGCTTAATTCAATCATCTCATTTCCACTTTTTCTTTGATGAATAATCCTCTGCACTTTCAACAGAGTCCTTATTCCAAAACAACACTGGTTTTTCAAAGTCAATACTTTTCTTTTAATATATGTTATTTAGAGTTTAATTTGTTCACATATGATATAAAGAAGAGTGTACGTTTAAACGACTTTACAATTTGCTTTTCAATAACCACTTGAATTATTACTCAATTTCATTCAGGACACACCTAAAATTTCAAAGTAAGATGGGTTAAATTTACCTAAAAATGAACTGTTCAATTTTGAGATGGGCTAACTTTAAAACATATATACTAATTATAAGAAGAAGAAACATTTCACCGGGACTATAGCCCATGTTAGCCATAACATTGGTCCGTTGTTTCATTGTAAGTCGGTGTATTTTTTAGGTTATCAAACACCAATCTTAGACTGTGGTCTAATTTAATTGTAAATAGCAAGTTTGAGCTGGCACCCCAAACCAAGCCTTACAAATAAAGAAATATTTTGCAAAGAGGCTTGTAGCTCAAGTAGTTACTCATGCACCCGAGGTCGTAGGTTCGATTTCTCCTCCTTAATAATATCAACTAGCTCTTAATGGTATTTCTCTTCTCAATAGTGTAAAAGGTATCAAAATCAAAACCTTCATCCCCAATGAGTAAAAAATAAGATAAAAAATAATATAAATTGGTTAGACATTAAAAGGACTTGTAGCTTAAGTGATACCTCTGCGTTCGAGGTCCAGCACCCCTTTCCCCAACAATAAGGTTTTTTAGGTTTTAGACATAAAAAAAATTTCACTTTTGGAAAAAGCCAAAGCTTTTTCAAAAAAGACAAAAAAACCGCTCAACTTTCAAATCAAAGACATGCAAATGTATTGGATTCCTTAGGAAATCTAAAAATAAATAAGGGCATTTTTGTCCATTTTTGCTTCTTTTAAAATTTTTCACTCTCCTTTTGCTTTTTCTAAAATGTCCCTTCTCAATATTGCTTCTAGTATATATTGGGCCTAATATTATTGTTGAAGCCCGTCCAATGACCCCATAGGCTTTTTTTTTTTTTTTTTTTTTTTTTTTGGTAGTGAAGCGAAAACGCGTCCAAGTGGGAGCTGAGTAGACAGGCTGGGCTGGGCTGGGTGGACCTAAAAGCAAGAAGATTATTTTGTCCGTTATGCTCGCCACGTGGAAAACATTGCAATAAACAAAGTAAAAAAAATCTACGTAAGTCACCGTAAAAAACATGGAGCTTCAGTAAAAGTTCGGGTCTTTGTAGACTTGGCTTCGGCTTTTAGGATCCTTCCTCTATTGCCTTCTTCTGCTTCTGCTTGCATCAACAAACAAACCCCTCTCTCTTTCAACCCAAAAAACCCCTCTTTCTTCTTCGTCAACGTCTGCGTTCTCCCTCAATTCTGCTCGATTCTTCAAATATTTGTCTCTGCAATCCGTCACTCTCTCATGGCCACCACTGGGAACAAGAACATCAATGCCAAATTGGTCTGTTTTTTTTCTTCTGTACAAAAAGCCCCTTTTTTTTTAGCTTTCTTTCTGTTTAATTTTATACAACTCTATGATTCTGATTTGTCTTGATATGGTCCTGTCTCTGTAATTTCAATTAGGTTTTAGTTAATTTTGTAGTTCTGATCGGTCTGTGTATGATTGAATGAGAATTATGATGTGGGTTTGGTTTGTTTCTCACGGAAATTGTTTCGATAATCCATTACTGTCATATTTTTGTGATAATTTGAGATGGGTATGATTGGATTTTCGGCTGTGAATTTTGGATTGCCAACCTTCCTTATCGCTTTTGTTGGTCTACATGATTGTGCATAATATTCAGATGCTTGCCTCTTTTTTTTTGGTGGGTTTTCTTTCATTAATTACAATGATGTAGGCTAAGAATAGTTCTTTACTTGTACTTTTAAACCCTGGAAATGGAAATCAGATGCTATTATCTTTAACATGTAAATTTTGCTCTTGTTTTTATATTTGTATTTGTGCTTGTTAGCATTCTGGCTGCAACAAAAGTTTGTTATGTTTCGTAGCTGTTTAGACTGAAGTATTACTCTTCTGTGCTCTTGTTTATCTTGGTCCGGTTCTGATATTCAAACCCGAGGGTCTCTGAGAATGATAAACATACTGTGACTGCGCAAGTTGCATGGCTATCTTGGTCTGTGATGTGTACCAGAAAACAGAATGTTTGGTTTAAAGGTTGTCATTTATTTTAAAGTTGTTTCTTGAATATACGAAATTACTAATTTCTTTCTACGTAGGCATATGTAGTTTAGCATTATGTGACGAAATCTTTTATTTATCTGTTTATTGTTTTTCTTTGGTTATTGCCTTTAGTGATCATCAGAGTGATGTTTGATATTCTGCTTCAGGTGCTTCTTGGGGATGTTGGAGCTGGGAAGTCTAGTCTGGTGTTGCGCTTTGTGAAAGGACAATTTATTGAATTCCAGGTTGATTCTGTTGTAAATTTTAGGGATTTCTACAACTTTGAAATGAAGCTTTGTCTTTTTTATCCAGACCTTTACTTTTGTTGTATGATATTGTAGGAATCAACCATAGGTGCTGCCTTCTTCTCACAAACATTGGCTGTAAATGACGCAACTGTAAAATTTGAGATTTGGGATACAGCAGGTCAAGAGAGGTACCATAGTTTGGCTCCAATGTATTATAGAGGAGCTGCTGCTGCAATAATTGTGTATGATTTAACAAATCAAGTGAGTATATTAAGACAAGATCTCTTCTCCATTGTTTTAAATTTTAGATTTTCCTGAAATTTATTTTGTTGTTGATGGTGAAGTTGAGGATGAGGCATTGGACTTTTTGAAGCAAGTGGTTTGATCATTGAGGTCTGGGGCTAAAGCTGCTGCTTTCCCCACTTGCCCCATTTTCATTGAAATTTGGATTTATAGAATGCATCATATATTTTTAATACCCATAATTAGTATATTGAAAAAATCTTATAGATTATTGGAGTGTATAGGTTATAGCAGAAAACTGAGTCAAGTAGTAAGATAATGAATTTCACTAGGAAGTGCAGTAAAGTTATAAAGTTCTTTCTAATGATCTAGGGCCTTCTCTGTTCAGTTCTTCGACATTGTCAGTAGTTGGCCTTTTGTCTTGTCTTGCATTACTTCACTAAAATTAAAGGATATTTAGCCTTTCTGATTTCAGATTTGATTCTGTCTGAATCGTTTTTGTGTTTCATTTTTTTTGCTAGATGGGTTTAGTCAAATCCATCTTAAAACAGAAATTTAAAATTTATTTCTTCTCTTGTAGGCCTCATTTGAGCGAGCAAAAAAATGGGTACTGGAACTCAAATCACAAGGTATCTTGCACTTTCTTGTCACCTATAGATATCCTTCTATTTATGTTTTATACTTGTCAATTTCTTGGCTATTTTGGACAATCATCATCAGGTGGTGATTGCTGGCTGTAACTGTGATTATATATATATATATATATGTATGTATTCATTGATGGGGCATAGTAACTTGTGTATATTAATTGTGGTACCGGTTTCTTTGTTTCTGCCAATATTATGTTAATTATATATAAATTTATTTTTTACCTTATCAAGGCAATCCAAACATGGTTATGGCACTAGCTGGGAATAAAGCAGATTTGGTAGAGGCAAGGACTGTAGCAGCAGAGGTAAGTTATTATTTTTCCGCTTTGTTTTGGTTTCTTATTGGTTAAATTTCTATATCACTCATCATTTTCCTGTCAACAATCCTTTGTTCTTGTGATATGGATGATTGCAAGCTATCATTTTCTTCTTTTCTTTGTTTCCGATGTTCAGTTTTGAAAGTTTGAAGCAAAGTAACCAATTTCCTTACTCTGCGGATTGTAATCCAGATCATGTATCCCAATTTGTGATACAGGGATCTGGTTTGGGAAATTAGTGTTTTCAACATATGACAATGTATGGGGAAGAAGATATAAGTAAAGTAAAATTAAAGTTTTTAGTTGTTTCCTTGAAAAATTGAGGAGAGATTTTGACATACTTCAGTTAGAATCAAATAGCTCCAGACATGGAGATATATATCCCAGCCAACAACTGACACATAACTTGTATTCTTATCCATAGAAAGACATAATGGATTGTAGTGGAAACAGACCAACTTAGTTTTCAAATCTAGGAAGCCATTAAACAAACTCATCTTCAGGCTCCCTGTGGATTAAGGAAAAGTGATTCAACAATTATTGGAGTTCTAATATGTCAACATCTGGAAATTGAAAAGACAAAGTCACCTTTCAGGAGGGTTAGAGAAAAGAAAGAAAAAGAAACCTATTCTCTATCAAATCCATAAGAAATTTTAAGAGCTTTTCGGATTTCTTTTCCTTCAATGCTTGTCTTGTGATCAATAAGAGGTTGCTTTAGAAAATAGACAAACCAAAGGAACTGGATAATAAAGTGTGACGGGTTAGTGGAACTAATTTGACTAGAATCTGTTTGTTATATGTTTATCCATTTTGAGTGTTGCTCATATAATTGGTGCTGTTGTTGCAGGATGCACAGGCATATGCTCAAGAGAATGGCCTTTTCTTCTTGGAAACCTCTGCAAAAACTGCAGACAATGTGAATGACATCTTCTATGAGATAGGTACTTAAATGAGTTTCAAATCATTAGTCGGTATCTGAATCATAAAGTTCCATAAGTTCTATATGTTTGTGTTAGGATTATGTCTTTAATTTCCTGCTTACTTCACAAGATTGCTGTTGGGCGTTGGGTAATTTATTCAGAAGTTCTCTTCAAAATACTTTTACTGGGCATCTTAGGGTCTTTCTAAAAGCCAATAGCATCTATCCATTTCCCAACCATTAAAAAGAGCATCTACGCATTCCAGCAAAGAAATTGAACTGTTAAAATGTGGATTTAGGCAAGAGTCTTTCTGCATGTGGTATTTGTTTTATCGAGATCCAGTGATCTAATCATTATGGTTTCCTTCTGTTTTGGGCACAGCAAAGAGATTACCTCGAGTGCAGCCTGTGCAGAACCCTGCAGGAATGGTTCTTATGGACAGACCTTCTGAAAGGGTAGCAAGCTCATCCTGTTGCTCATAGAGGTTCTATGGTGCCTTCAGCCACTGCGTGCTTGGTTATTTCCATAATAGTTGCATAACTCACAGTGGAAATGATGTATCGTTTTACGGAGTTTCCCATGTATGTGTACATTTATTCAGATTTGTATATGCATGTTTGTTTAGATACTTTCACAAAGTGTGAGAAGCGTATGGGGATTTTTTTTTCATGTAATGAAATGGTTTGGCATGCTAACTCTGATTTGCAAATACCCAGGTTTGGTAATGAGTAATAAGAATTCTTATTCTTTAATGAGAAACCAACATAGTTCAGGCAATTTTTAGCAAGCACATACACAATTATGCAGTAAAAACCAGTTGAAATTCTATTGCAGTTTATTGAAGTAATACTTCCATATTGCCAGAAGCATTTGCGGATAAAGAGGTATCTCGTGGTTTAGAGTAGTTTAGACTATCAGAAGCTCCTTAAACTTTTTCACAAAATTGAAGAGTTATAAGATGGTCAATACTTGTAAGAATATTTACATAATTTTACATAAGTAAATGCCACTTCTTGATGGTCCTCCCATAGCTAGTTGCAACCATTTAAAGACCCGAAAATCGCTAAATACACTGAAATAGTTATTCAAAGTATTGACTCATTTTGTAGGGAACTTAGTTTTTCTTTTTTCTTTTTCGATACAAATGATATTTTACTTCAATTTAATCTAAGCTACGTAGAGGGAGATTCGAACTTGGGTGCAGAGTGATTAGCACACCGCTCTCCCCAACTTGGCTAAGTCATATCTGCATGTTTTCCACTAGTTCTTGAGCCTTCTCTATTATCTATGTCAGTATTTAATGCTCATAGTTCTAAACTTATCATTGATAACGTGCGCATAGTAAGCTTATCATGATATTGACTACACTATCATGATATAAACTTATAACATTTGAATATATACAATGGAAAAGCAATGTTATTATAGTTGCCAGAGATTCCTTGAACACTTTTTGGCATATATTTATGTCTCTACTTGTTTATTTATATCTAATTATTTTGCACGTGCATGGCCACATATAGGCTTCATTTCAGCCATTAATTATAGAGAATATTACTGATTACTGCTCTCCACTTCAATTTGTTCCCTCCTTACCAAGCAATTGGAATAAAACCAGCTCATTTTCTTGACCATCTAAGGCATGGAGATCAATTTAACAAAGATTTAGCCAAGTACAAAACAACCAATTACTAAATTCATCAAAGAAAAGGAACTAATAAAGAAAACATCAAGCAAAAATATCCAAACTGCCAAGCCTCATTATTTTGTCTGCTGAAAATCACAACTGGCATAACAGCAAGAACCACCCACAACTACCCCACAGCTTGGGATCACTTATTTTTTGTGCAGTCCTTGAGAGGCCGCAGCTGAAGCGCAGTCCATTGGTTGAAACCCAATTCTCTCTTTCTCAAGGTCATAAACAACCTCTACATTTTGTTGCTGAAAGCTCCCAAACACCCCAGCTGGCCCATAATCTTCATCATCCATGGCTTGGAACAACAAGCATTTCACCACAGTGGAGTTGGCTGGAGCTCCCATGGCATAAAAGTGATTGCCTTGGGGCAAAACAAGACTCACATTTTTCAAGAAATGGAAAGTGATTGAAGGAAATAGGTCATCAGGTTTTGTGAGAGTACTGATTGTGTATGGGACCACATAACAAAGATCAAAAGAAGTCTTTGTCTCCATTTCCTTGGCTCTAGGATATGAAATCACTGAGTGGAGAAGTGAGAGAAGGTTAGAGTAAAGTGGTTCAGGCAAATGAGTATAAGTGGTTCCTGAGTCAATCAACATTCCCCCATTGCCTTGAGCATCAAACTCTCTCAAGCTTAAGGGCATTTGGGTAATTGCACTGGCATTATCTATTGTGATAGCCTCCAGACCTATGTAGTAGTTGTTAGGGTACATGGGACTCTTCAACATTGGAGTGAATTGCAAGTTTTCCTTAGAAGAAATAGCAACATCTCCTACAACTAATGGACTTGAAATATTAGGGTTGTTTGCATACTTGAAAGGCAAGAAACAATGAGAGAAGCCCTTTTTAAGGAACCCTAATTGGGATGGGACGGAAAGTGATCCCCTACCAAACCCTGCAATCCCAATAGGCTCTCTATAAGTAGACCCAATGCACCCAAAACAAAACTTGGGAATTTCCCTTGTGACAACATTATCGGGTGTGCTACTAATTCCATGAACCCTAAGTGTGTCTCTACTAAGTGTCCCTGTGACAACCCCACCTCCCCCATAAGTGTAAGCAAATGAAGGGCATGGTCTAGGACATGTGGCCTTAAGAAGGGTAGTGAGTGAGCATCCGGCTATGGTGCACGGATCGATAGAATTTTCTGAGCTATGGATGTCAAGGCAAAAGGAGCTACCACAGAGGTCTCTAAGTGATGAAGAGGAAGCAGAAGGAGAGAATGTGGGCATTAGTCTGTTGTTCCTATAGTCATCACAATCCATGCAAACAAAAGAAAGATTCCCGCAAGGAACCCAAGTAAGATCACTCCCAGTATCCATGTAAACCTGAATGACTTGTGGGGGTGTCCCTAAGTTAAGAGATATCAAGTACCCATCTCTAACTCCCCTCAAGGGCTCCATCATATCTGACACTTGTGACGGCATCTTTTTCGAATTAGCAGAGGCTTTTGGAATGGGAAGGGAAATATAAGAATGTGTTAGACCAAGTACCAGGGAAGTAGAACTTGGCTTGTGCTTGGCTAGGGTTTGGTTGAAGTTCAAGAATATTGCAATGGCTAGGAGGAAAAGGAGAGTGCAGGTTTTAGTGAAGGCTGCCATTGGGATCAATAGAATAGAGTCTATAGAGATAACTTAAGTGAGCTCAAAACTTAGCTTATATAGTAACGAGCTCAGCTCCTCTAACCAAAAGAACAAACCATGCTCATAACAAAAAGCTCTGCAAGATAGTGGCACCCATGATCATGGCCCTGCGAATCGGGTGAGCTTCAACTTAAAATCCGCGGAATTTATGGGGTTTCAACATATAATACAATCAAGAACAATATAATTAATCTGGACCACGTCATATATACATGGAAGTTTGGAGCCTTCCTCAAAATACAGGCATACTGACGAGGACTGATCAACTGTTTGCTTGCCATTTCGATTCTCACATGGCAGTTGCTACTATTTCAGGAAGATTTGGATTTGTATATACAATAACGCTAGGCTGTAGGCTGTACTTTCACTTGATTAGAATCAAAACATCAATTAGCATGCCACTAATTACTAATTAGTGTACTTGACTGCATTTGTTTAACTGATGATTAAGAAAGTACTAGATGGAGTGTTAATAAATTAAGCACGATATTGGGAAGTGACACCACCTCTGCTTCAATTAACATTGGTGCTGAGATATTGGCTGCTGGTCGAATATTATGATCTTAACTACTATGAATGATACATGGTTCTATACAACTTTTAGTTGGAATGCTTTACCTTAAAAATTATAAAGTTCTTTTGTCACATTAGCTTTCTCCAAATTCAGTTATGATCTGTATGTACCATCTTCTCACTATGAAATTAGTTTGAGGAAGAGCTTCAAAACTACTTTGGATACCTCAGTGGGCCAGATTTCAGTGAGATTGTTTGAAATATATCAATGTGAGACCGTAAATTTGAATCACACACAATTGTATGATATGGACTCTGCGGCTGCATCACCAGCTAGAGAGACCTACTCAGTCAAAACTTTGGATACCTCGGTGGACCAGATTTGAGTGAGAATGTCCATTTGCAAAGTTATTTGATTATAAATAAAGCAATAAAAAAAAAAGGGCTCAAGGTGAAAGGAAACACATCAACAACAGTTCCACTATCAAGTCCATTATGCCATTATTAGGTACACTGGTTTTCCTTTCAATACCCTCCTCTTGTTGCATATAAAAGGTCACTTGCAAACACAGTTGTACACAAAATGTGCAATACAAAATGCTTTCACAACTCTTTTTAAACTTGGGGTATTTTTGGTAAGTAATTATAAAATTAGTTAAGAGATTTTCCCTGTCCACTCAGAATAGAAAGTAGATACTTCTAGTGGCTTTTCTGTTTTAGATAGTAATTAAAAGTACTAAGAACAACAAAAACTATGCAGGCGCAGTAATAGGATGATCCTCAAGATTTCCCCTACTTTTGTCGCCATCAACCACCCATTAGAGTTTTGAAGTTAGATAAAGGGGAAAAAACAGACCCTAGTTTTTGCTTTTCTTACCAATCAATAGATCACAAGTCATGCTTGAGATCAGGCTTTCCTCATGCTCATGGCATAAGAAAAAGAAAAATGCTTGGCTCCTCATGCATTATTCCCCTTTGTATAATCTATTTGGACCCCAAAATAAATAAAAAATAAAAAAGTTGGCAAATCTACATTATGTTTGCCCATCTCAACCTGTAAAGAGAAATTGCTACTCATCCATAACAAGCATTGTTCTAAAACTAATTTAAAAAATTAAAGAGATTGTCAAAACAATAAAGTATCCAGCTTTGAATCACTTACATCCATTAAACTTTAACTCTAGTGGCATACAGTGGAGTGAGGTAAAAAGTAGAGATCTTAGATTGGATTCCCCTTGTAATTTAACAACAAACAAACTTTAGAACCATTTACAACAGTTGTGGCCACCAAAATGCCTCCCGTTTCGATTTCTTTTTTAACCCCTCGAGGCCTCTATCATTTATACAGTGAGCAAAATAGAAGAATGCACAAGCGCAGACCCATCTTAAGGGGAGGACTTTAGACTCAATTGGAACGTATATATATATATATCCATCATTGCATCTTGGCTAATTGCTTGATCAATCCCTTGATAATCTTTCCAAACCACATCAAGTTCATTATTGCTAGCACTGATGGCACAACAAAGACCAGCAGATATCCAAAGGTGTGCATCTGGATGACCTGCCCATCCAATTAAAATTAATTTAGTACTTCTGACAAATCACATAATTCTGCAATTGTAAAGCACTTGATAATTCATAAAAGTTCATAAAGATTGCTTTGAAGGGAACAGGCAAAAGAAGAGATGTTTTGGCCTTTTTTCTTTCTTTCTTCGTTTCAATAAGTAGGAAGTGAGCAATGTAAAATCTTCTAGAACAGTTGAAAACTATTGCACTATATATGCAACTTTCAAAATTTTATTAAGGAATAGACAATAGGAAGCATAATCAGGGGCACACTGATGCTTGCCATCCTCCTGCCCAAGAAAAGCACCCCAAAAGAGGGAAGAAAAAAGCAGAATGTAAAGATCCAAAATTTCTTTCCCCTTCTCAGAGAACTATGTCAGCATGGTCTGAAGTATAAATCAACTTTTCAAGACAGTGAAAGTATACAGTAAGCAAAATCAAGTGTAGGTGGTAGGTAAATATCTTCAGGGAATTGCAACTTACCTGATCATAGTGCAAGTAAACATGGTAAAACATGTAACCAAACAGCAGAATTCTTGCAGCCTGCATTCCATATATTCTTTTCAGAAAGCATATCTAACAGAGATAAAAGTTGTATAACCAAATGGAAAATCCGGCAACTTCGAAAACAACAATGCATGCTCATGATGCTGGCTCACATTAAGACAGATGGCTAAGAAATGAATTAGTCCTCCTACATTTGAATTGCCAAAACAAGAACTTTATGTGAGAGTTGAAGCTCTGAAGGTAAAATTGGGATCAGAGTGGTTTTCCTTGGAGATGGAAAAATTCACTTTATCTTATAAGTGAAAGTAGTAGGAAAGTGTCGTAAGTTGCAACTAAGTCGATCCGCTATATGATATGAGTACATATTGAGCATCAAGCCACCATGTTTAACAACAAAATGACAATAATTCAAGAGGACTTCAACTGACCAGCCATGATAAAAATATCACAATGCCGTTTATGAGATATGCGCTGGACCTCTTCATACCAGCTGTATCAAGATACCTTCATGAAACCCAAAGTTTATATTAAAGATGGAATACTAGAACCTAAACACCATATTGCTTCTAAAACTTACCATCTCATATTGATCTCTGGAGTAGTGATCTCAGAGATGAGGATCATGTATGTATAAAGTTGCCCTTCTCCAGAAAACATGGAGTAAGCTACTGCAATTCCAGAAAGTGAGTGATGGAAAACCTGTAATTGAACACCACCATATTAAGAGTTATACAGCTTTTAACATGGCAAACATTACTCATTTCTAATCAAAGATTTGTGTATATGTTGCCTAGTATTTATTCATTATTTTTATTTTTATTTTGAAAGGTAACAACTTCATTTTACTACCAAAAAGAGTACAAGATTGGTGGACTGGTCCACCAAAAAAGTACAACCATAAAAGTCTAACAACACATCTGCCAACCACTACAAAAATAAAACAGAACATACTTTAAACTGAAAACACAGCAACTCCCCATTCATAAAAGATAGCCAAAAATGAAACCGATGCCCATAGGGAAGCGCCGAGTTGAATCAAATGTGACTAGGAATGAACTTAAATTATATGCAAATGTTCTTTTTCCTTTCTTTTCTTTTTTTTTTTGGTTTTTGTTGAGACTTGTTATAACATTGGTAAATTATGCTTCTGACCAGATGTCAAGAAGGTTAGAACAGACATATAAACATATATGTATTTGCGTGTGCTTTTAGACTAATATAAGAACTGTCTTCCATGGAGAAATTACTTACATATTCCATTCCACCTAAAGAAGGGTATAGCCATAATAGCATTCCCAGATCCGCACAGAAGTACCCAACAGAAACCTGTCATAAATCATCTTAGTTAAGTTCCTTTAAAAATATGTTAGGAGATACCAAAGAAAAAAGTGTATCTAGACAAACCCATAAAAACAAGGGAGTTTCACTAAAACACCCAAAATAGAGATTGAAATTATAAAAAAACCCAACACCCAAAACACTTTATAAACACACCCAAAACTCATCATTACACACACTCAAAACTCATTTATAAACACACCCAAAAAGTTGACTTTGGAGTTGATTTTGGGTGTGTTTCTATGTTTAAATAGTGCTTGGGTTTTTTTATAAATACATGTCTAGGATTGGGTTTATTTATAAATTTGTATAAAAACAAAAGGTCCAGATCACTCGTGAATCCTTGATAGATTGGCTCATGGGTTAATATTTAACTGCTAGTCTAGGCATGGTCAGATGATAATCTCATCATGACATCATAAATGTATTGATAAGTAATTAAAACTAATTTTTGGCTCACTTAAGCATTTCCTTACAATGTGTAGGGAGTGCAGATACCTTGATATTAATTGAGTGGCCAATTTCATAAGGTAATAATAGGAAGCACATACCCCTAATCCAAAAACGGACAGTGGTGAGCTTCGAAATGTAACAAGACCAGCATGAGGTTGGTCAGAAAAGAGATCGGACCAGAACACAAAGTGTAAGGATAGAGCTGTGATAAAAATGGCATGAATACTGGAGATACCTCTGCAAAAGTTACTTTTTCAAATTAATAAACGCACAAGTAATTACAGATGAAATTCAACAGTTGGAAAGTGGGAATCCTCACCGACTGTTCCACTCAATTCGTTGGATTTTTGTAAGGCCAGCATAAGTCTTGATGTAAAAGCTACTAATTAACTGAGTAAGATCATATACCTGCAATATATAATGAGTTAATAAGAAAAAGGAAGACCAAATCTACAACCGGGGCTCAACTTTAAGAACCATTTTAAACATTAAAGGCATTAAAAGATTACGAGCATACCATTTTGCACAAAATTATGCCTCCAATAATGGAAGTATATGGTATGAAGGGATCCGCTAATAAATAGTTTTTAACCAGCACTCCCGCTTGATTTTGGTAAGACTTGATAGCCATAACTGTCTTTGTAGACACTTCCATTGCAATATGTTAGATTACCCGTTCTTATTTCCCTTCTTTACTTTTTCGTACTGTCTTCCTCTCTTCATTTTCCTGTTTCATCTTTCCATTAGCAGACACAAGGAGCAAGTAAGCAACCAGGACAATAATCATAATCATAAACATGCACATCGTATCAGCATCTTTTTTTTACTGTGGTCAGTATTGACAGCATCTGATTATGACATTTTAACCAGAGTAGCTTATATTAGCAGATGGGTAAGCTGCAAGCAAAAGAAATGTGATATCTCATTGCTCATCTCTATACACATAATCCATTGGATTTGTATTTTATTCAGTACATACATTAAGAATTCAGAAACTAAAACCTTTGTATGAAAACAACAAATGCAAACTAAAAGGCAGGAACCATCCAAACACAGAATTAGAAAGATGAGATCAAGTAACACCCAGACTGATAAATAATAGAAATTAAGCAAGACTCAAACTCCAATTAAGCTACTGACCAAATACAAATGTATGAATGTACACTAGTAAACTCATCAAAGGGACTAGATAGTGTAGCTGTAAATTGGTCAAGCAACAAAACTCAATATTTCATCCTAGGACTGGCCACAAACAGTTTCTTCATTTGAATAAAAAACCAAATGACCCAACCATAGAGATGATGTGGTCATTTGAAAAGTGGTGGTGGAGCCACTGAAGTCAATGTAAAATGCAGTAACCCATCAATATTAACAATGGTTGCAGAGCAATATCAAGAGAAGCTCTAAGCAGGAGATTCAAAAAGACTATCAAATGTAAATGAAAGCAAGCAGTACCCGGAAACCAGGAAATGCAATCAAACGGGAAAAACAAACTCGGATCCAAAGTCTGACCAAAACACATGAGAAATCAAATGGGGTATATAAAACAACCTTCAGCATTAGATCAGAGACCATATAATAGCATAACGCAGATAAAATTTTAGAGAAAACCCAGCAAGCTAAAACAGAGGATGTAAGCTAAGAAGCTCAGAAATCAGATGGAGGTCTTACCATGAGCATGAAGTCCATAACTTAACCAACAAAATCCTTCCAACATCAACAGCCAAATCAGATGGGCATTTGGGAAAACAGACACAGAGGAACCAGAGCTAATCCAATGCCAAAATCTACAAATCTCAATTTTTTTTTTAAAAAAAAAGGAAACTTGAGGAGCTGATGCAGATGGGTATTTGAGAAAACAAATGGGTATGGCGAATTTGTCACCAACAATAAAGAAATGGAATGCAAACAACCCGTGAAGAGGAAAAACGAAGCAAAGGGGTGCAATCAATGTAAATGTGAGTGCTTCGAATCTCCAACCGAACAGGTAATAAAGGGAAGGGGAGGAGTTATTAGTTAAAAGAAACTGGAAACTGGGAAAAGAGCCAAAAAATAAAATGACAAAGAAATTCGGGTGGATACGTGTGACTTCGTGCTTGGATATTGCCCAAGGGAACCAGGAGCCGAGTGTGGGTGGATTGCATTTCATGTTGTCCAATCAGATAGGGAAGTAAGAAATGAAAATAACGTGATTGGATGATGAGCTATTTGGATTTTAGAGTTTTTAAAATTTTTGCTAAGAATTTGGATTTTAGAGTTTGTTTTGAGAAATGTGAGATTTGTACAAAGTGGGTAAACTATGTACTTATTATTAACCCTTACTTATAGGTAGAATGATAGGTTTGAATGATAGCATTTGGATCTCCATATCTTGATGTTTATTTATTATTTTTTGGTCTTTATAACTATTTTTCTTGATTTCATTCTAAGTTATGTTCACTAATTTCTTATGTTGTTGCAGCTAGAATCCCTAATATTCCACCACCAACCCGATCCTACCCCAATCATTATGGTTGTTGCATCACTTATCATTTCTTAGCTATATTTTATATGATGACATAGTAATTTTAGATACCATTTCGTCATCACAGGCCAAACCAATTGTTTTGTTTTTATTTTTTGGTTGGGAAACTATATGAAATCTTACGGGTTATCAACTTACCATAACATCAAAAGTAAGGGTAAGTCCACTTTTAGCTTTATTTATTTTAAAAAGAAAAATTAATCAGTTGGCGTCTCTAGTATTATTTATGTCAATTTAGGCCCGTTATCATAGATAGGACCAAGTAGAATAATATTATAAGTAGAGGCTTGTAGTTGTAGCTATGTAACCGTCTAATACAATATGACGCTGAAGCTAATCCCATTGATAAAAAAGTATCATTTTCACTTTTTTCATATGCTTTACTTGTAATAAAGAGTGTGTTGCACTCTTGCTATTTGTATCTATTATATTGCTTGACACATAATAGTAAGTTGACAACCTTGAGAAGCTTGGTAAGAACGTTGCCAATGCCATCAAATATTTCTCACCAAATGAAATGAAACTGAAAATGGGCTAATAGTGGTGGAACCAAATTAAGCTAAGTGATGATGATATGTGATGACAGTTTCTCCTGCTTATTTCTTAAATTACCAACCATTAAAATTCGAATTGACCGGTTTAATTGGTTCGACTAAATTGATGCCCACCCCTACTCAAATCTCCTAATCATCCTCAATAGACAGCTCAATTGTGACCAGATAAGCCTTTATCACATTTGAAGGAGCTCAAACTCGAACCCTAACATGTTTCGGCAACATGCAATCTCCAAATGACACCTTTTTATTAATTGAAAGTTTTTTTTTTCGGTCGAACTTTTTATTAATTGAATAGTTATATCAAATCAATAAAATGATATTGAGATTGAATAATGGTTGTACATAATTTTTCTCATTCCAAGATGGTCTCTCACGTATCAAATATGATCTTTTTATAAGAGGTGGCTAAATAGTAAATAGATAATTAAGTAAATAAAATATTTTTAAAAAGTAAAAGAAAGAAGGAGGCGGCGGCTTAAACTCCCAAATTCTTAGGGTTTTTGACAACGGCAGAAACTGGGGCACACTTCATCTTGGTCTCTCTAAAAACCGCAGAGCGGAAATAACAAAAGGAGCAATGGGGGCTTAAAACCCTGAAAGGATATTCATCCAAGGTAACCTCTCAATTGAAGCTCTTTCAATCTTGATCCTCTCTAACTTTCAACTATCTATGAAAAAATGTGATTGACCCTGCTCCCATACAGTACAACAATCTCTCTCTCTCTCTCTCTGTTCTATGGCTTTTAGAAATTTTAAGGTTTTGTGCATTTCTGGTCTTTACTGCTTTTCTCATTCCTTTAACTCTCGCTGAATCTTCTGCTTCTCTCTTTTGTCATCTCCACTTTCCATGTTAATGAATAGAATCCACAGAAGGGTTTCGAGAATGATTTCCCAACTCAATCACCTCGTACTCTTCTCGCCTGTCTTTGAAAGAACCACTTTTGTGCAGAACCCATCTTCTGTTTCGCTTAAATTCCAATGCTTTTGCAGTTCTAGACTTACCCATCAGTCGAAGGTCTCTGTCATCGAGTCTGCACAATCGCCCAATTCTCCTTTTGCTAACCGGGTTTCTCGAAATGCTAGAACTGAGGCTCAGGCAACCCTTTTTGATTACCTGCATTGCACTCGAAGCTTCAGCTTCACGGATGCAGAGCATATTAGCAAAAACTCCCCAATTTTTCTTCAAAATTTGCTCTCCAACATTGATACTGAGAAAGATGTTGCACGTTCTTTAACCCGATTTCTTCGCTACAATCCCATTAATGAGTTTGAACCGTTCTTTGAGAGCTTGGGTTTGAGTCCATCTGAGCTCCTATCGTTTCTGCCACGGCACTTGATGTATCTGAGTGATGATTGTGTGCTGACTGATAACGTTCATGCTTTATGTAATTATGGAATCCCCCGTAGTAACATCGGTAAGATGTATAAGGAGGCAAAGGAGATATTTGGATATGACTATGGAGTGTTGGCTCTAAAACTTCAAGCTTATGAAAATTTGGGGATAAGCAAAGCAACAGTTATTAAGCTTGTTAGTTGTTGCCCGTTGCTTCTGGTTGGGGGTGTTAATAGTGACTTTGTCAAGGTTCATGAAAAATTGAAGCGTTTAGGCCTTGGAATGGATTGGATTGGAGGGTATGCATCAGGTAACAGCACATACAGCTGGGACAGAATGTTTGATACAATGGATTTTCTTGATAAAGTGGGTTATACGGAGGAGCAAATGTGTGCTTTGTTTGAATTAAATCCTGCATTACTATTAGAAGGGTCTGGAAAGAATGTGTATGTATTGTTTGGCCGGTTACTCAAATTGGGTCTCGAGATGAATGAGGTTTATTCACTTTTTATGCAAAATCCACAGGTCTTGTCAGTTAAGTGCATGAAAAATCTCTTGCTGGCAGTAGATTTTCTGTTTGAGATTGGAATGGGAACAGAAGAGATGGCAGACATTGTAGCCAATGACATGGAATTTCTGAGTTCATCTATTTTTAAAAGACCCAAAACTGTTTGTAAAGACTTAAAAGTCAAGAGAGATGGCCTGCTCCAAATGATAAAGGAAGATCCACACATGGTGTTGACATTGGCTTCAAAGTCCAAAGGTAAAAATCAATTAATATCCCCACTCCCCAGTAAACATCTGGAGAAAACGTCATTCTTGGTGAGATTGGGATATGTCGAAAACTCAGATGAGATGATGAAAGCTTTGAAAAAATTCAGAGGTAGAGGAGACCAATTACAAGAGAGGTTTGATTGCCTCGTACAAGCTGGCTTGGACTGCAACGTGGTGTCAAACATAGTTAAACAAGCTCCTCATGTTCTTAATCAGAGCAAAGATGTGATTGAAATGAAGATCAGTTGCTTAACAAACTGTTTACGTTATCCACTGGATTCTGTGGTGGCATTCCCAGCATACTTATGTTACGATATGGACAGGATTAATCTTAGATTCTCAATGTATGCGTGGCTAAGGGAGAAAGGTGCAGCAAAGCCTATGTTGTCCTTGAGCACTCTCCTTGCATGTTCAGATGCACGATTTGTAAAATATTATGTGGATGTTCATCCAGAAGGTCCAGCCATGTGGGAAAGTTTTAAAATGCAAAAGAGCTAAGAATTAGATCCTTCTAATCTCCTGTCTATTATTTTGGTTAAACTACCATTTTGTATAAGAAGACTTTACTAATTGATTCATACTTGGTTTGTTGAACAGAAATAAATAAATTCTTTGATGAGAAATTCTGTTCATGTTCTACTTTATTTGGTGACAACGATTTTGTTCGCATCGTGCTCGGTGCTTGATTTATTGAACAAAAATATATAAATTCGTTGATGTGAAATTATGTTCATGTTCTACTGTATTTGGCGACAACCATTTGGTTCGCATTGTGCTCTTGTGGCTTATCGTGCATTGCTTTGCTGAGTTGGTTTTATAGGTAATTGCAATAGAATGAGACTGTTTGGCTTGATGTTTAGTGCTCTCATAAAAGGCAATTGTATTCGATCAAAGAATTGTAGATGATAGGATCCATTTTACAAGTTTGGAATTGATGGGCAGGTAAAATTATGTACAAGTAGACTTTCGCGTGCTTATAACTGAACTTGGACCAATTACAAACTTCTACTCTGTTTTTTTCTGCTCTTTCTTACCTTTCTTTATCTTTGAATTCCATGTTTACCAGAAACAGCCCCAACGACATGATACTTTCCATCAACTCTGAGAATCCAAGAACGCATCGCTCAAAGTTTGTCATCAACAGAACTAAGGACTCAAAATGATTAGGGGAACCAATATGTTGTTAAAATCAGAATCAAAGATTGATTTCCATTGCAAGGTTCTCTACAGAGTTACAAAACTAGGACACTAGCTAGTTCATGCAGTTAAAATGGCAATCCGCATCTGCTAAGATTGCTTACTAAGCTCTCATCAGCATCCTTGGAAAAATGTGTTCATAATTGGGAGGCTTAAAAATTGGATACAATTTACAAGCCTTCATACTTTCCCAACCTTCAGATTTTCACCAACATTTTTCAGAGACGATGAGGAGGATGATGAAGACAACCTAAAGAGGTTCTTAGCAGCCTTGTCCTTGCTAAATGCCTTTTGTACTTCCTCCTTAAGCTCCATGAAACGCGTCCTCTTTATTTTCTGCTCGTCAGGGGTGCCCGTCTCAAGGAAAAACAAATCAGGAAGGTCGTCCTTAATGAACTTATCCAGGACTTCCGAGCAATGAGGAAAATAGGATCTACCCGTACTGACTGCCACAACAGAACAAGAAGGCTTAAAGGGAGAAAATCGATGATAATTTTACCAAGCAGATTCTAAATACTATATACTAGCTCGTGATGTGTGACATCCTTCCAGAGGTCGTGCTTCCTTTGAGAAGCCAAGAGTCACAATAACAGATAAAAGATCATATGTCTATCTAAGAGACTAAAAGCATGCTGCATTTACCTGTTTTCATAAGAGCTTCT